TTTTCTTTCCATTTTAGAAAAACATTGGCATATCCGTTGTGGGTATTACCACCAGGGGCGATGATGGGGTTTGGATTTCCAACCATCTATATAAAATGGCAATGTTTGGTGTACATAATTTTTTTGTACATAGAAAAGACACCCGTACACATTTTTATGTACACTAAGAATAATTCTATATAAAAACAAAGTCATCGGGTACAAAGGGAAGGGGAGTAAACCTAACCTTCCTTTGTAGGTGTCGCCCGATTGGATGTTCGTGTCCATCTTGTACAATCCTTGCAGGACAGAAACTTTGGAAATGAATTTAATCTAGACTTCTAGGTAGTAATTCAACTCACAAATGTTTGGCTTAAAGAAATCACCTGCCAATAAACTACCTAAGCAAAACTCAGTTGATCCTTCTAATCCTTTTGCTTCTGATACGGAATCTGATAATAAACCGACTATTAAACCCGCAAGAAGTAATTTCGTACCATTTCTCATTACACCAAACCAAAAATCTAATCCGTTTGATGATGATGATGATGATTTTGGGAGAGAAGGGGCAAAGCCACCTGCAGTCCAGTGCAGGTAGAACTTTTGGCTCAAGCCCAATCTTTTTTCTTTATTTAGTTATTTAATTTTTTTGAAGTGTAAGATTTGATGAAGATGAGACGCAATAATATGTGTAGACACAGAGTTTGAGAAGCAGTAGCAGAAGCCATAGCTTGAATCTTCATATTCAATTGCATGTATATATCTTCTATCAAAGCTTTTCTTTTATGTCATCTTCTTTTCCTACTGTCTTCTTCTTTTACCTCTTTAAGGAGGTTTTCTTGTTATTCTATGTTTGGCAATGATCAGCTTAAGTGGATAAAGACGATGTGAATAAAACTCATAAAGTCTAAAATAATAATTACCCCGATTTATATGAATTTTAATCTATAATTAATTAGCTACTTTGTTGAAGTTTTAGATTCAAAGAAATAAGTCGATGTTTGTACTTCATTTTTAAAGTGTAATTTTGCTCAAACTTACTTTTAATCTCTTGTTCTTCCAATAAAACCTAAAATTTATCCTACATTTTAACTATACTAGGTGCAAGTAACGTGCAATGCACGTTTGCTTAATTTATATTTAATATTTTTTTAATAATTAATTTGTTATTAATAAATATGTAATTTTTTTTGGTTAATTAAGGGCGTGTCTGGGCGCCCTGCAAGGAGGAAGGAAAATTGATT